CTTGATTCTATGTTATTGTTTTGCTTCCATGGATGTTGTGTTTATCATGTGATTCTTGTGTTCTATGGGTGTTGTTGTTGGTTTAATTTGTTATGTTCATGTTACAAATAAAATGATGAAATTCATGGTATTTAATGGTTGGGTATGTTAGTACATGATCATAGTTGGTGAGTATGATTTGGAAGTGATTTGGGTAAAGAAAATTGGGTTTTATCAGTTCTAGTACGTGATTTGCTATTTATATAATACAAGAGGAGTTATGCATTGTTATTTCAAGGGGAGCTTTTATTGTGATCTTTCGATGTGGAGTTGTGTAAAATGAAGATATTATACATAGTTCTTAGACTTTTAGTTTAGGCTTTATTGTATAACATATGTCTTGATGTATTTAGTTGGACATGTGCATATAATGATGTCATTAGGTTCTTATGTTGTATCCGTACCAAAAATTAACACTTGTATGATATTATTCTAGATATATACTATACGGGTCGTTACAAAAAGATAAAAAAAGATGAGAAACATAACAAAGTTTGTTTATCCAATTCAATCAAATGATCTATGTCTGAGGGAGAGGGCAACTCTTCAATTCACTACACTCCAAAATTTGTTACAAGAGATTACAAAAGAGTTACAAGAAAATATCTTTCAAAGTTCCTAAGACCAAAACCTATTTTTTTCGTATTGTCTAATCCTTCTAGACAACTCTAAAAGGTTTCTTTAAACCTTAAACCCTTATTTCTCCCTTTTGTTCTAAAGTTCTAAAATTGTCACACTTACATTAGCATGAGAGATACATGTCTATAATTGCTAAAACCATACAAATTTATAACAAATTCCAAAACATATCTCATTAACTGTTAGAATAAACGACATTATTAATATCTTATAATATCTCTTGAAATATTATAAATATCTTATAATATCTCTTAGAATATTATAAATGCTTTATGATATCTTTTTATATTAATTCATAGTATCTCTAAATTAATAAATAAAAAATATACATCCAATATTCTAACATTAATGAACGGATCCACAAACTGAACCGATCAAATGTGATGATATCCACGAACGGTCCGAACTAGACATTCTTACTGTTTTTTAGCTTCCTAATTTCTGGCAATCTCGAAACATGTTTTTTTTCTTTTCACCACTTAAGGTTTTAAGGTATATTCAACAAGATGTATGATTTTTCTATGTTGGCCACGACTAAAGAACAAAATAAAAACAATGAAAGAAAAATGTGAAATAGTAGTATCTTGAATATTTGTGCAGGTCTGAAGAGAGGAGAACGAAGCAGCAAGAAGCAAATCAATGGAAACTCAGAAAGTAACCGAATCTAAGGGTTGAATATCAAGCAACTAAGAATGAATAATGAAAACATATATATATATATATATATATATATATATATATATATATATATATATATATATATATATATATATATATATATATATATATATATATATATATATATATATATATATATATATATATATATATATATATATATATATATATATATATATATATATATATATATATATATATATATATATATATATATATATATATATATATATATATATATATATATATATATATAAGTGTTTATCACTAAAATCATAAATAGAAGAAGGAAATTAATAGCACTTGGGAGAAAGAGAGGGAGAAAAAGAGAAACCAACTTCTTTTTGCCAATTTATATGTATGAAGAGCGCCATGACCAATGATCGACAATCTAAGAAGCACCAAAGGTCACAACCAATGGCCGAGATGAAACTCTGATCTTGTAATGGAACTTGAGTGCACTCAAGTACTCTAAGTGTATCGCCTCCCTAGCCTATGGGCATGAGGGCACGTGGTAACCTCCTCCGAAACAACATTTTTAGTGACATGATAGGTATTTAATGTGCATATATTCCCAATGCCACCAACTCCACTTGGCTTCTCAAAAAAACTCTTTTATTCCTCTAAAACATTTTCCACAACATAGCATTCATATGGGCCAGCCTCAGAGCCTCTATGTCAATATTTTTCGCTTTATCGTCGAAAGAAATGACCTTGGAGTAAATGTTTTGGCCTGTCAAAGGCTCGATAAACCGATCTAATTCAGAGGTACAATCTTATCAAAGCACTCTAACATCAAGCAGACATTTAAATCAAAGCACCAAATGGGAGCAAGGCTTTTTTTCCTGTTGTGAATCGGATACCTTAAAACTAAGTATAAATAGTTTCTTAATGATCAAGAAACACACAAGGGTTAGGGTTAATAAAGAAGAAAACAACAAGGATTGGTTATTAAACTGCTATTCTTTCCTTTCTCTTGGAACAAGATTACAAGTATACAATAATAACAAAATAACCTCTTTCTCTTGAAATTAGGATTTTATCTTCCTATTTTTCCTTATGCCAAGATTGAGAAACTAGCATCCTATTCATAAGAAAAATAGCACATTAACCTAATGGGCTTTTTAACAATTACCAATTACAAGTTAACTTAGGGTACAAGCTAACTTAAACAATTGGGCTTACAAGCAAGACCCAATTCAACATGCTAACAACCCTAGCAAAATTGACTAATGCATGTTAGAACAAACTTCGACTACAACACACATTACTCCCGAACAGACTTCGACCATACTAGAGTTCGACCCAACATCTTACAAATCTCCACCTTGGATCTAACTCTATAACATCAAGAACCTAGCGTTCTTCATGCAGCTTTATTAACTGCATACAGTGGAAAAACTTGCAACTGAGCAACGTCTTGGTGATCATATCAGCAATATTATGATCTGTCAAAACCTTCAGCACTTGGACTTCTCCACGATTTATTACCCCTCCGATGAAATGAAGCCTCACATCAATGTGTTTGGTTCGCTCATGATAGGATGAATTCTTCGACAGGTGTATTGCACTTTGACTATCACATTTAACAAAGATAACTCGACCTTGAAGTTTTAGCTCCTTCGCAAAACCTTCAAGCTACAATGCTTCCTTCACAGCTTCAGTTAGGGCAATATACTCGAACTTCTAAAGTGTTGCTTTCCAACTGATTGTTGTCCCAAACATAATGAACACATGTCCAGAGATAGATTTTCTGGAATCCATACAACCTGCATAATCAGAGTCGACATATCCTTCGATTGTTGATTTACTATCTTCACCCAAGGATCCACCATAAATTAGGACTCTATTTAGAGACCCATTTATGTACCTTAAAATCCCATTTAATGCTTGCCAGTGAGCCTTTTTAGGATTCACCATGTACCTGCTTACAAGACTTACTGCATATGTTATGTCGGGTCTAGTACAGACCATAGCATACATCAAAGAACCTACTATGTTAGCATCTGGAATGTTATTCATATAAGTTATTTCAACATCAGTGATGAGACACTGATCTATACTCAGCTTGAATTGAGGGTTTGTCAGAGTCACAACAGGCTTTGAATTCGACATACCAAACTTTTCGAGAACCTTCTGTAGGTATGCCTCTTGAGATAAGCATAATTTCGACTTCTTTCTATCTCTCCGGATGTCAAACCCAAGAATCCTGGATGCAGCTCCCAGATCCTTCATGTCGAACTCTTTATTGAGTTCAGCCTTCGCCCTCATTACATCTTCAACATTGTTGCTTGCTATTAGAATATCATTTACATATAGCAACAAAATAACAAATGAATTACCTGGTCGAAATCTGAAGTAAACACAGTGGTCAAACTGACTTCTGATGAAACTTATGCGTGCCATGAACTTGTCAAATCTCCTATTCCATTGTCGAGGAGATTGTTTCAGTCCATATAAGAATATATTCATCTTGCACGCATAATTTTCCTTCCCTTTTTCGACATACCCTTCAGGTTGCCTCATCAGAATTGTTTCATCTAAGTCACCATACAAGAACACAGTCTTCACATCCATTTGTTCCAGTTCAAGGTCGAATTGTTCCACTGTGGCAAGCAACATTCGAATAGATATGTGCTACACAACAGGAGAGAGCCCATCATTGAAGTCAATATCTTCTTTCTGAGTGAACCCCCTAGCAACCAATATTTCCTTGTATCTCTTCGACGCCACTCCTTCGATTCATTCCTTAACTTTGAAACTCCATTTACATCTAACTAACTTGGCTCCAGCAGGTTTCTTCATCAGTTCCCAGATGTTGTTATCATGAAAAGATTTCATCTTATCATCCATGGCCTTCATCCATTATAAATTTAATGAAATTAATAGATTATTTAAAATATATATTAATAGGTAAAATATATGCATTAAAATGTTTATTAATATTTAATCAAACGAGAAACCCTAAAACATACAAGCATTCGCCAATCCATATGGCAAAATGGGCCAATTTTTGCACATTTGCCAATTCATATGGCGACTTAGTGCAAGCCCAAATCGTGAGTTCAACAAAGTCGCCAATCCAAACGGTGACTGGCAGTTGAAACTTAGTTGGTTTGGGAAATTTTTTGAAACTTGCTTTTATTTGATAATTTTTAATTAATACTTTGTTATTCTTAAAAAAAATTCCTCCTATAATGTATATTGTATGGTTATGAAATAGATAGTTTTCTTTTTTTTTAAACAAAAAATTGCAAGAATTTTTTATTCAAAAACAAACTAAAGATATATTAATAGATCTCATTTGGCATGAAAGAGAGGAAAAATACTTTTCGCATAATTTTACTGATGAGCGTTCTAATGCGAATCTTTCAATAAATTTTCTTTTATAAAAAATACACCAAAAATATACAGGATCAAAATAATTAACGTTACTAAAACACTAATGACAAATCCATATTAATATAACAAAAACACTAATGAGGATTTGTCCACCAATAATACTCGCTTATATGTTTTTATGGAAATAAGACAATTTCTCTATTCTTTGTCATTAACGTGGTCGTCGGTAGGTGGTGGTTTTCAGTGGTTTAAACTTTTAATTTTAGGATTAACGACTACTAAAAAATTATCATCGTCTTATCATGGCGAAAACATCACAAGAGGATTGGGTGGAGGTTCGAAGGAAGAAGGATCATGCTCAAGCAAAAGAGAAGTTTTTGGTTTGGACAGTGAAAAAGGGAAAAGGATGTGTAGAAGATGAAACGGTGGCATCTTTCTTCTTCACTGAGTTCCCGAATGCTTTTGGTCTGGTATCAGAAGTGTTCGTACCACATCGACGCGATAAACGTGGTAATAGGTATGGATTCATAAGGTATAAAAAGGTAACAAATGTGAGAGTCATGGCAACGAGACTGGATAATATCTTCATCAAAGGAAGAAAATTACATACAAATGTATCCAGATTTCAAAGGAAGGAGAATGTGCATGTCAAAAGCCAAAACAATGGTAGAGCAATATGAGAGGAGGGTAATAAAACTAAATCTAAAGCTTTATGGGGTAAAGTTAGGGTGTAAATTTCATACACTCAGATTCTTTGAAAAAGTGCGGGAGTTGTAAAAGAGGATGTTAGGGTGCAATGATTCAAACTACAGGAAGGTCTCAGAGGGAAAGAGAGGTATAAGGAGCCAAAACCTAAATTCGCGCATTTTCAATTTAACATAAACAAAAAGGATCTAGTTCGATTCGAAAAGGAATATGTTGGGATTGTGGAGAAGCCTGGAGAAACATACAAGATTCAGGGAGTGCTAAACACTGAAGATTATTTCCATATCACTATGATTCTGATGGGGGAAAATTTATGCTTACTTGAGAAAACTGAAGAAGGTGAGTTAAAGTCAATGATTGAGGAAGACAAGGAATGGGTTTCGTGCTGGTTTATGGAAATCCTCCCTTGGTCACTGTAAGATATTGATAACGATAGGCTTACTTGGTTGAAATGATACAACCTTCCTCTTCATGCTTGGAAACCGGAGTTTTTCAAATTTATTTCCAGCACGGTGGGCGAACATATGTATTGCAATAAAGAGACAGAACAATTACAGAAATTGGATGTGGCTAGGTTCCTGATGAAAGCGAAGTATAATTTGAATTTGAATGAAGTGTTCAATGTGGACATTGACAATAACGTTTACAGAGTAAAACTGGTCGAAGATTTACATGGTCCAAAAAGATAGGTAGGTCCAAGGGAAGGATCGACATGTTGCGATTCTGAAAGTGTAGAATCGAAAGAGGATAATGGCGCGTGGAGTGAGAATGATGAGGAAGACGATTGTGGCTCAGATAACAATAACTCATAGAAGTATAGTAATAATGATGAAGTCGATACCTATTAATCAAGAAAAGAAGCAACAAAAGAAAAATACAACATATGAGACCACATGTGCACAACAGAAGTAGTGAGAGGGACGTTGTTGGATATTTCCATAAATCCTGGTGAAAAGGTGTGTGATGGAAATAGGGATAAAGCCAAAGGGATAAATAATAAGGAAGGGCGCTCAGAAACATTAATTGAGTCTAATCATGGTGTTAGTTTGATGGGATTGGGGTCAAAGGGTTACCTAGTAAAAAATAAAAATATTGAAATGAACAATGAGGTGAACAAAAACGGATTACAACAGTTGGGGATTCAAAGAAAGTCAGTGGGTCGAGACACAGTTAAATCAGACCCAATTCCATGTTCTCCTCTTGGGCTTGTAGTAACACATGCAAGGCCCAAATCGAGGAAAAAGAAACTCTTAAATGAAATTTACAAAAATATTAAGATTCCTTTTTCACCTTCCTTCTTTTCTTTCCTAATCCATTCTATTAACAAAGATGGTCTGTCCATTCCACCTGATGAGCACATCATCTTATATTCTAGTCACCATCTAGTAATGTGAGATTTGAATTCAATGTACTCAGGTGGTTCTATTTTGTGTTACGATTCTCTTAATGATTCTGATGTAAATCAGGGAAATTCAAGGGTAAAAAGAGCTTTGGAAGGCATTCCTGGAAAAGTCTGGCAAACGATTAAGGATATGGGTATCGAAGGCAAAGAGGATGATGAAGTATTTGAGGGAATCATAAGAAATATGGAAGAAATAGACAAAAAAGTATATCAGAACAAATTGGATGTAGCTGAAAGGATCCCATGAATGTCTTGTCTTACAGTATTTGTGGGGGAGGAAGCTCAACCAAAAGAAGAAAAATAAGAAAAACTATTTTAGAAGGGAAAGCAGATATTTGCTTCATTCAAGAAACGAAAATTCAAAATATGAAGGAAGGTGTAGTGAAGATTCTATGGGGGGATAATAATGTGGTTGGTTAATTGTTAATGCAAGATGTCATTCAAGGGGTATTTTAACTATTTATAAGAATAATGTTATTTGTCCAACTTATAGTTTCAAAGGATCTGGTTTTCTAGGGATCAACGCAAGGTGGAAGGAATTGAATTGCTACTTGGTTAATGTTTATGCTCCGTGTGGAGAGGCACAAAAATGAAAACTGTGGTATGATTTAATTGATTGGAAGAACAAAGTCCCCCAAGGGGAATGGCTCGTGGCTGGAGATTTCAATGCGATTAAATTAGCTGAGGAAAGGAGTAGCTTTGGAAGAGTTAGTTGGTTTGAATTGGAGGAATTTTCGTCTTTCATAGAATCAATGGACTTAGTGGATCTTTCGGTTGTGGGAAATAAGTTTACGTGGTTTAAATACAATGGAAGATGTAGAAGTAGATTAGATAGAATATTATTATCATAAGGGTTAATCAAAAATTGGAACATGGTGGCTCAACAAGTTGAAGTAAGAGATGTGTCAGATTATAGACATGTGTGGATTAAAGCTAACAACCAGAATTAGGGAGCAAAACATTTAAAGGTTTTTAGTTGCTGGTATGATCACCCAAAATTCTTTGAGATCGTAAAATTGGAATGGAATGCTATTGAGGTTTGTGGAAGTGTTGCTAACATTTTAAGTTAAAAACTTAAAGTGCTAAGGTAGATTAAGATGGTGGAATAAGGAAGTATTTGGATGAGTAAATTTAAAGATTGATGAGAAGGTGGATGTTCTTAATAAGTTGGAGGAAATATTGGATTTGGTGAGTGATCTTGATATGCAGAAGGCTCTTTTGGATAGAGGTTTATCTCATGTAGAATTGTGGAATAAATTGCAAATACAAGAAAGTCTCATTAACAAAAGGCGAGGATGAATTGGGTGAGGGAATGTGACATTAATACAAGGTTTTTTCACACAATGATGAAGTCTAGAAGTAGAAGAAATCCCATTTCTATGGTGAAATCAGGGTCACTGGTGTTGGAAGAAGTGGATGAGATCAAAGATGTCATTAAAACGTTTTTTGAGAAACGATACAAAAAGGTGGAGGTAACAAGATGTCATTAAAGGAAGATGATTTACCAAAGTTAACATTAGAGGAAAGAGATGAACTTGAAAAATGTTTTACGGCAAATGAAATTCGGGAGGCAGTGTTTAATTGTGATGGAACCAAAAGCCCGGGGCCTGATGGTTTCAATATCGGTTTTTTGAAGAAATATTGGGATATAGTTGGGGAGGATGTGATTAATTGCATCATTGAATTCCACTCTTCAGCAACACTCCCCAAAACAATGACATCCTCTTTCGTTACCCTGATTCTAAAATTGGAAAATTCTAAGAGATTTAGGTGAATACCGGTCTATTTGCCTCATAGGATGCGTCTACAAAATCATTTTGAAACTGCTGACTACTTGTTAGAGGAAAGTTATAGGTAAACTAGTGTCGAATACTCAGACAACTTTCATCTCGGGGAGAAACATTCATGATGGTATCGTTGTGGCAATGAGTTACTTGATTTAGCCAAGAGACAGAAAAGTAGTTGCCTTGTGCTCAAGATCGACTTGAATAGGCATATGATTGCATGGATTGGGGGTATCTTGTGAGAATTTTGAAAGACATGGGATTTGGGAAGAAATGGTTGGATTGGATAAGGGGGGTATTCACTAGTCATTTGTCGATTTTGGTTAATGGTGGCATAACGAAGGATTTTATGGCGACTAGGAGATTGAGACAAGGTGACCCCTTGTCCCCTTTCCTTTTCTCATTAGTAGTTGGAAGAGCGAGTTGATTAGGTATTCTTAAAGGTTTGACTCTAAATAATTATGATAGTTATAATCTCTTTCAATTTGCTGACGATACAATTGTGGTTTGCGATGCGATTTAGTCAAATCTGTGGGGTCTTAAAGCCATTCTTAGAGGTTTCAAAATAGTGTTGGGGTTGAAGATTAATGCTTGGAAGAGTAATTTATTAGGTGTTGGCGTGAACAAAGCGTTCATGAAAGCATCTTCACAGTTTTTGGCTTGTAAAGTAGGTGAAATTCCTATTAAGTTCTTGGGGTTAACAGTGGGAGGGAATCATATAACAGGTTCCTTTTGGAGGCTAGTTATAAATTGTTTCAAATCCAAGCTTTCAACATGGAAAGGCAAGATGTTGTCCATAGGGGAGAGAGTTACGCTCATCAATACAATTTCGACGAGCCTTCCAATTCACTATCTCTCTTTTTTCCAAGCATTTGTGATGGTTTTGAAGGAGATTGTGTCCATTCAACGTAAATTCTTGTGGGCTGGATCTTTTGAAAAATATATTGTGGTGTGGGTCATTTAGAGTTCAGTGTGCAGCTCAAAAGAGATGGGGCATTGGCATTAGTGATGTTCGTGTATTCAATAAAGTGTTAATTACGAAGTGGTTGTGAAGGGTCCTGAAGGATAAAGATGTATTATGGAGAGGGGTTCTTAATCATAAATACGGGGGTGTTGCGAGAAGGATCTTAAACCATGAAGTTCAGGAAGGTACAACCATTAACTCATTATGGTGGCGTGACTTGATGATCTTAGGGGACAATTTGGAGAAGGCATCTTTTAATGATTCATTAACTTGTAGACTTGGAAACAGAGAGACAATTCCATTTTAGACTAGTAGATGGATTGGTTGACACCCTTTCATGTTTGTTTTTCCTCTTCTGTTTGACGCGACAGGTAGAAAATCAATTTCTATTAGTGAGGTGGGGTCTTCGGAAGGCGACAATTGGTCATGGAATCTTGGTGCCCTGTGTTTTGAAGACAACATTAACTTGTAACAAGACTATGTTGAAGTGCAGACATTGCTGAATGAGGTACAACCTTTGGTTGGGGTTGATGACAGGTTGATCTGGACGTGGAGTGTTGATAACCTTTACACGGTCGCCTCTTACTATGACATACTACAACTTCTAGCTGGTGAGATTGAACTAAGAATTGAACTTAAAGTGAAATTGATATTGTTGTGGAAAACTTCTTTGACTATGAAAGTAAAGGTGTTTGTATGGAGTTTATTGTTGGATATATTGCCAACAAGGAAAATTTTGGCAGCTCGAGGTATTATTCACAACCCACATGAGCTCGTTTTCATTTTCAGTTTTCAAGTTGATGAAGGCCTCAATCATGTTTTTTG